GCAAGATTCTGTTGATGTAGCTTTACATTAAAGTAGAATTAGCTTATGTGGTCGTGTTTCCGTCTGGTCTACCTGGGAAGGCTTGCAGCTCCGGGCAGGGCAGGGTGGGAACCCCAGACCTTGGTTCTGTCTTGCAGAAGGAGGACATTGGTCAAAGATATGTATGGACCTGAAAAAGGGTAGGCGTAGCCAAACCTGGCAGGAGTGGTTAGCAACTGTAGAACCTTCATGTGCAAGAGCAGCATTCCTCTTACTGTTGGATTCTGAGCTTCGGTGTGATTCTGTCCAGTGAAGGAGAGCGAGGGGCATGCGTTTGGATAAATCTAGGCTTTGCATCTTGCTAGATTCCCCATGGTAGCTGTTATGTAACTGGGCAAGCCCCCAACTCTCGGCAGACCAGGGACTCCCCAAATTCCCCAGCATCCTAAAAGAGATTTGAGATCTTAACGCAGTAAGTGTACATCAAGAACCAAAACCCCAGATACTTATTTATGGTGGCATTTCTACCCTCCAAAATGGAACACATTTGATATCCCTGTATTTGTATTAATATTTAGTTACAATACTCCAACGCAGGTGCAGAATTTGATATCTACAGAGAGACCCGCTTGGTCAACAACCGCGAGCAATGTCAGTGCCTCTTCCAGATAGAGAAAAGTTATATTTTCATCCCAATTCTTGGGATCAGTGCAGCAATATTATTACTGTCCTTATTTTGTTAATAACCGCCTTGCTCCTTCGGCTTCTTCTGCAGGCCGCTGGTGGCCAGGCAGAACCCCAAAATCCCCATGTCCAAAATGATGACCGTCCTTGGGGCCAAGTGGCGAGAATTCAGTGCCAACAACCCTTTCAGAGGCAGCTCGGCTGTTGCAGCTGCTGCCGCGGTAGCTGCAGTGGGGGAAATTGTAGCTGTCGCACCGAACCCGCTTCTGCCCAGCTCACTCGAGGTGCCTCCCACACCTCCTCCACCTACCCTCCGGAAAGCAAAGACAAAAGAAGGCAAAGGTAAGAGAGTCCTGGAGAATTATTGGGGGTCAGAAGATGTAATGGCATGTGGGAAAGACCTTGGGAGATGGGGAGAAGAAATGCTGCCTAGGGAATGGTCAGATAAGAGATGGCATAGCCTCTAGCTGCATAATGGGTGGAGAAAGAGGCTCAGAAGGGACCCTCCCTAGTTTCTCAGACTGTAAAGGGGATGGAGAATTGTACTTTCAGCCTTGCAGTAAAGTAGAATGAGCTTATCTGGTTGTGATTCCTATCTGGTTAACTTGGTGAGGCCGACAGGAGAAGAGGGATTCTCTTTCCAAGGAAAACCTCTTTTGGTGGGGTTGGGAAGAGTTTTGCTTTGGATCCAAAGCAGGTTCCAGAAGTGGAGGGGCCGGCAAAACCAAGGGGTAGCCAACAGCTCTTAGCGATTTTGCTTTAAGGGGAGAAAAGGGATAAAGGATAGAATAGGGTTGCTTCTGATTCAATCTCCAAATCTGTTTTGGAGTGTGCAGGAAGGCAATCGTAGCCTTGGTATTCAGCAGTTTAAAGCAGCTATGTTTTTCCTTGGCATTGCTCTGTGCTCTGAGAAAAGAGGGCCATCTCTTTTCAGTCCCAAGTACATCCTGTGATTAGATCTTCCTGTCCGAGATGATCCCTTCTTGGTTAGTTTTCAAGGAATTACCGAGTTGCAATGGCTCATTGGAGTTCAAATAACTGCTTCCATGCAGTGCTTTTAACAAGTTGCTAGTCCATAAGAAAGGTCTGACTACTGAGGCAAAAGTGAATTGGAGGCAAGTAGTAGAATAATAAGGACTGGGTTTGATTCAGTTCTTTTGGTTTGGTTTGGAGCATGCAGGCGTCTGATTGTAGCGTTGGTTTTCTACCCTTTAAAGCAGCTGTGTCGTTTTCTGACCTGTTGTACACTCCGGGGGAAAAAGATGGCCATCTCTCCCCAATCCCAGAATACATCCTGCAATTACATCTTCCTATTCAAGATGATCCCTCCCTAGGAAAGGTTGAGTCCCAGTTGCTCAGTACAGTCCAAACAACTCCTTCTGTGCAATCTTTACAAGTTGCTAGTCCATAAGAAAGGTCAGATTACCAGGGCTCAAATAAAGTAGAGGGGAGCAATAGAATAATGAGGACTGGATGCTTTGGAGCATGCAGGAACATCACTCTTGTTTGCAGTGTTTTAAAGCAGCCACATCTTTTCCTGGGAAGATGGGCATCACATTTGTACTCTCAGGCTGGGAACAGCGCAGTGCTCTCTCTGGTCTTCCAGGTCCCGGTGTGCGGAAGAAGATCAAGATGATCAAAGATGGCAAGAAAAGGGGGAAAGGGAAGAGAATGGGGGCCTTGAAATTCCGCTTCGGGGGGATCGCCCGGAAGAGGAAAAAAGACTCCTCGGTGAGTAAATTATTTTCTGCAAAAGTCATGGATGCAGCAGATCAGAGGGTACCTTAAAAACAATAACAATAAAAACAATTTTGAAAAAAAGGTTATGAGTTCCAGGCAGTCTCTGCCTCTCCTAGCATCTCATTAATGGTTTCGTCGTAGTGCACGATTTAATTTTGCTGAACGTATTCCTCCTGGGGAGGAAGATCGAAGTAATCAAACCTACAATATCATTCACCAAAAATCAGATTTGCCTCCCCCTCTGGATGCTGAGATTTCAGCACTCCTGTTCTGTGCCAGTACATCCTTACATTCATAAGGACTAGAAACTTGCTTTCAGTTTTAATGGAAAAGTGGTAACCAACCAACTCCCTCCCTCCCTCCCAAGCTCATTAAGGATTGCAGTGTCTACACAAGCTAAAATCTGAATATCCAAGCAAGTGATCTTGTGCTGGCGTGGTCTAAAGCAATTTCCAAAGTGTAATTAGTGTGTTTGTTGGAGGTGTTTGCTGTCTGTGGGAATCAGGAGGCTGGAATGGAGCCAGGAAATTTTCTGGCATTCCTCTATCCTCACTTTGTTCTTATGGCCTGTAACTCCCATAATTCCTAGCCATTGTGGAGAATTCTGGGAGGTCCCACAATCCCCCAGTGGTCTTGTAGGCTTGGAATTCTGGGTGTTGCAGTCCAGCTTTGTGCCAGGTGGGCAGCAGCGTCCAGACGGATTGCCCGGTTTCTCTTGACAGAGCGAGGAGGACGAATGGGAAGGATCCGAGCTGGATGGCGCCAGCATCAAGAGCTCCTCCGTGCGTTCTGAATCCTCTGCCGGCAAGAGAAGCCGAAGAAAGAAGAAGAAAAAGAGAGGTGCATCAAGTGACTTTGGCAGACCTCCTTCCAAGGGGGTGATTGAAAGGAGGGGGCAAAATAAACCTCTCGGCCACCTGATTGGCCACGCCCACTCGGCTACTATTTTGGGAGCGTGCCGGTAACAAGTCCCCAAAGTCCAAACTGGCCACTCGCTCCTGCAGAGTGGGGGACCCCTAATTTAAAGGCTCCGATGGAAGCAGATCCTTTGCTCCAGAACTCAAACCTGAGAGCAATTCTCCCATGTCCCG